TGGCGCCGAGTCAGGAGGGAACGTGGTGCAAGAAGAAGAGATCTGCCCGAAAGCTTCGGTTGAGGATGCTCAGGAGGAACCGGGCAAGTCTGAAGGTGTCCCCTCGGTCCTTGGCAAGGAACAGGAGCCCGGCAAAGAGTGTGTTTCAGGAAAAGATACTGATGGCACAAATGATGAACATGCTCCGTGTCGTACGGGTGTTCCACCGTTAGAGAATAGTGACGATTTCTCTGGGCAGGAGAGTCAAGGTAAAGACTGTTCAGGTTCCCTTTCTTCTGTACACAATAAAAAACCGACCGAAGCAGAAGAACAAGATTCAAGTGGCGACAACACTGTTGTACCAGAAGGCAGCAAAATCCTGTGCCAGCTGCCAGCTGAAGACCAAACTAGCCAGGATGCCGGTGGATTGGAGTGTGGAAAAAATTCCTCCCTATCAGAAAGTCGCAGCAGTAACTGCTGTGCAGAGCCGGCTGTGGCACAGCCGAGCGCGGCGGCGGTGGAAAACCAAGATAAGAGCTGTGCTGCTGCCAAGAGCCTGGAGAGCCAAGGAAACGTGTCCCTGCCTGAAGAACAGGGCGAGGACTTTGTGAATGCCAGCACGGCGGAGGGAGGGGAGAGTTTCTCTGAGTTGGAAAGCCATGATCAAGAGCCGCCCAGCGTTGCCCAGGCAGAGCATACCCAAGGTGAGAACCCCCTAGAAGCCCCAAATGAGCCTCTGGCTGTATCTGAGCCCATCCGTGGTGCCGACCCCTGTGCTCCCGAGGATCAGAATGAGCCCTGGGTGGATGCTCCCGCGTGGAACCGCAGCGGGAAGGTACCTGTGGTGGAAGAGGAGGACAAGGAGCGCTCAGGCTTGGCCGAGCCGCTGTGGCGTCGGCTGCGGTTGTCTGCGATGAGGAGGAGAGTGCGGCTGTCAGCGGGCAGGGCGGCCTCGAGGACGACTGCACCGCGGAGCTCTTTGCAGAGGTAGGTGCATTGCTACAGGTTATTGCCGTGGGGAGCGACTTTGGGGAAAAGTGGGTGACTGAGGATTTGACCCGAGGGGAAAGGCATTAGTCCATGGGAGGAAAATCCCTGTGCCCTGTTGCCGGAGTGTGGCCGTGGAAGTGGTTTGCAGGGACCGAGGTGGGGCCCTGGAGGGTTGTTCTTCGAAGTGACACCTTGTCTGATTATTTTTTTTATTTGAAAAAAAAATTGTTATATCCACTTTTAATATTCTCAGATTGTGGGTAATTTAACTGTGAAGGACATAAGCATCGAGAAGATCAGCTTTGACTATTCCAGCTACGGAGATGCACAAGTCAGCGAGGGAGATTTTGGCCACGTCACTGAAATCTATGACTTCCCGCCGTCGCTGAAAACGGAGCACCTGCTGGAAGTGTTCTCGGATTTCCAGTGAGTACCTGAGTGCTTCAGGGCCACGAAGGGAGCAGTATTCAGGCTTGAATGCACGACAGAATCTAGAGGATTTTACATCGAAGTTCCACCTGTGTGCTCTTAAGTCTTACACTAAGTGCCTTAAAGGAGACTTTCCTGGAGCTTATGTAGAACAGTGTGGTTGGAAGAGACCTGCAAGATTTATTTACTATTTAAAACAAAGCTCTATATTAAAACAAAGCTCTGTCATACACCATGTGCAGGCTTATTCCTATTGCTCTGGCTTCAGGGAGATTCCTGAGGTTCTTTCTAGAAGCTTCTTTGTTATTTTGTCCTGGTGCCTACCTAAGTCTTTGTAAGGAAAAGGGCTCAATCCTGCTCTTGGAGATAAGATTTACTGTGTAAATATGGGGAACAGAGCCTTGTGCCCAAGGGAGTGACATTGGATTTGTAGCAGGACCAGAATTGGGTCCCTTAAATTAAAAAACATGACTTAAATTTTAAATACACTGCTATCAGTTGTGTGCGTTTCCTCTCGTGTATTTTTTTTTCCACTCGCTCTGAGAGTGAAACTGAGCTGAAAATTGACGGCTCTAATCTGAGCAGTCGATTGTATTTCCTGCGCTGCCCCGCTGGAAAATCTTTGAACTCCTTTCTCCCAAACTCACTGACGCTTTATTAGATTTTCGCGTCGATCTCTTCACCCTACGCCTTGTAAACCGCTTTTGTAAATCACTGCTTTTTATTGTAGGTGTCTGAGCAATCGGGTGGTGTTTGCAAAGCGCTACATAAATGAAAGCAATACTTCTGTGTTACAAGACAGCCCCTGAAATTGAGGTTGATTGTGGCCAAGTGTTTCTTTAGAGGAAAAAGCGAGTTCTTGGGGGCAGCTGATGGGGGGAATCATTGTGGCCTTGAAAGGGGCACATCTAACATTTCTTTTCTGCCTTTCCTCGTCTTTTCCCTCAGGTAAAGCGGGTGGAACGCTTTGAAAAGCACCAGCCATCTAATAAAAATACTAAATACTCTTGATAACTCAGGGTGGCTGATGGGTTTGATCGTATGGGTCGTTTTTGGGGGTTTTTTACTAACCACTGCTGTTGTCTTGTCTTCTCCTTTCAGCGAGAGCGGATTCAAAATCCAGTGGGTCGACGATACGCACGCCCTGGGAATCTTCTCCAGCCTCTCTGCAGGTAGCGTGGCTCGATTTGATTCGTGGCTGCAGTGGGGGGACCTGCAGAGCTTCTGGGGTTTCTGCTCTCGCGGGGTGACCCTGTGGTGACACTGTGGTTTGCAGCATGTGTCTGCTGAGTCTTGAGCTCGGGCTGAGCTGTTGCCAAAGGCAGTCGCGGTTCCTCACGGCTTTCTTCCTCCGCGCTTCCAGCTTGGAAGGCTTTTAAGTCTCGAGAAGCTGGAATTGCTGTGGTGGTGCAATTGCAAGACCAAGCAGGTTTTTAATTGCCTTGGATAAGAACTTTTTGAGGCGGGAGCGACTCGCGCTGCGTTGATAGAAATTAATCTGTTTGGCCGCTTCAGGTTGCTTTTTTTTATGATTCTTGTGACTAGACAAAATTCGTGCGAGCGTACAGGGAGCTTCTGCGTGCGATGGCACGCGGGTCACGCACCGACTCTCCTGGCAGACTGACCTTTTCGGGGCTGAATGCCCCAAGTTCGGGTCAGAGCCAGCACTTCTGTCATCCAAAGGCTCTTCTCCTGGGACTTTTAGTCTTAATAATGACAGGGTGGTGCTTTAAAATGTCATTTTTTGGGGCTTTTTCTGGGCAAGGAATGCGGGATGTGAACCTGAGGATGAGTTGAGCTGTTTTGTTACAAGCCTTGAGATACCCCGCAGCTGCTGAAGCTCAGATGATGCAATCTTCTTACGCCCTGTGCTGATTTTTGTGATTAACGCCACCGATGTTCAGTCTGCTAATTTCAGCATCTTTTGTCCTTTGAAGCATCTCAAGCCCTGGGGCGCCGTTACCCTTCTCTGAAGATCCGACCGTTGATCCATGCGACCAAGCAGTCGAAAATCAAGGCACTACAGCGACCAAGTAAGCCAGTCTTACTTCAAGTTACTGGTAGTATTTCTTTGGTTACTAACCTATATCTTGAGTGGTGGTTAGATGGGGAAATAATAAATATTAAGGACCTATATTTCTCTTTTTTTGGTTTGACTGAGTTTTTGTAGCTTAATTTGCATTGCAGGACAGCAAGTCTTTGCAAAAGCCTGCAGATGCATTTTAAAATTTTTTTATTTTACAGTATATTCAGCCAAACCGTTATGTTAAAACTTTGTGCATCAATAATGCTGGTTCCTCCCTGTTGGCAGCAGTGGTGCCAAGCACAAATCTGCAGAACAAGACTACGTGATATAATCCTTACAGGGGAGAGAACTCCACCTGTTACCCACGTACAAGGGCTGAATGGAAAAAAAAAAAAAAGAAAAAGGCAGAGATGGGGGAAGACAAAGCCCAGCAAATGCCACAAACCTGCCAGGGAGATTCTCTGCATGGTAATAGATGAGACAAAAGCAATAGCAGTTATGGCAGGTAGTTGGCATAATTTTATTCAGTATCAGGTGAAGGAACAAAAATAATTATTAAGCTTAGCTGTTAACATTGTTCTGTTTATTTTATTGCCTTTTAAAATCATATTGTAATCAGTTATACTTGCCACAGTAAAGAAACGCCATGAATCGTGTAGCAGGAGAGACTTTGCTGAACGTACAACTCTACTGTTATTTCTACAGGACATTGCAGTTGACACACATTTCAGCGTTGATGCTTGAAAGGGACACTGTCACAGCTAGAAGTTCCTGAGTTGTTAAAGCTGTTAGATTTAAGTGAAATGTCAAAGAATTGCATTTGGTTTTGCACTCTCCCCTTCATCTGTTTTCGTTCACACTCCCTGATTGTTGTTGCTGTAGCCATCAGCACTTTTGAATCAGGTTATAAACTCCTTCTGGAGAATGTTTTTATATATATATTTATATATATGTAAAAACTCTGTTTGTATTCTTTTTAAGTAGCTTTTTTTTTTTTTTCCAAATACAAATTCAGATCTTGATCAGCTGACAGTGTCTCTTCTTTTTTTTTTTTTTTTTTTTTTTTTTTTTTTTTTTTTTTTGTTTTTTTTAAAAAAGGGACAGGTTTTATTTTATCCAAGCTGCGGATGCTTTGAGTCTGCTCCTGTTTCTTTAAGCTGCTGATGGGCTGCCTTTATTAATAAAACATCTGAAAAAAGCAAGCAAAGCCCCCATTGCTAACTGGATAATGGATAATTTGCAAACAGTTGCTGATAAATGATTAGGTAGTTGCCAAATCCAGGCTGCTGTGGACTTGGTAAAGTTTTGGTGTATTCATTGCTTGTAAGAGGAAACTGTAGCAAGCCGAGTGGCTACCAGAAAAATAGATTACTGGCCAAAGGGCTTTCCAAAAGCATATGATATATTTAGCTATTTTTTAATATCTTTTTTTAAATGCAGATTTTTTTTTTTTCCTTGCTGCCTTTGAAGGATTTAAGACCGCTGGGTTCGGTTAGTTGAGATTGAGCTTCCCCGCGCAGGCCTGAACGGGTTGGACTGTGTTCGTTTTGTTCTCAGAGAGCCGACGGGCTGAATTTTGCCAGGAACGGTTCAGGAAAGCTCTTTCCTGGGGAGCAGTTCTCTCTACCACTGCAGAAGAGGCTGGGCAGCTTAATCGCAGCCAAATAGCTTTTGAAC